ATATATATATAACAAAAATTGTTAAACAAAATCTAGGTATTTTGGGACTAACAACAAATTAAAATAAATATGTAAATAAGAAATAATTCAGGTGCACACAACTCATACGTATTCACTGGTTCACAAATATGTCACCGCTGACATAATTCTGATGAAAGTGTGCTACTCCAGACCACGTTTGCACATGTCTACACACGTTTGAACCTAACTGCCAACAGCAGAAACGCTCCCATTTAAATTAACTCATTTGGCTGCATAATATTTACAATGTTCTATGAAATTTTACTTGACACTGGGAAAATAAACGAAAAAGTGCACAAATATTTAAAGAATTAAAATTTTAAAAAACTGGGTGATGAAGAAATTCCGAATCCATATTTGAAAATTAGATAATAAAAGGCATTAAGTACACCCTTTTGATACTCGTAAGACAAAACTCATGTTGACCAGTGTAATTTGTATGTTTTATTAGATGAACTTCTTGTTATCATTATGTAATAGTAATGAATAATGTACTCATTTCTGTTGGACTTTGTACGAGCATTAAAATATTATTTCGTTGTACGGATAATTTTTATGATGTATGAGAGCGTAATAAAAATGTCCATGAAAGAACAAATAACTGTCGTTTTATGTATACTGATTATCCCACACACACAATCCACAGATCGTCGGGGAAGGGTGCGGGGCGGGAAACCCGCCTTCAGGGAAAGGAGTTGCCCGCATTTTTCCCTGCGCGGAGAGCAGCAGCCGACAGGCAGGGACCGTAGCTGGCGGACCTCGAGTCATAGACTCGTCTCAGAGGTGCAAGGCCCGCACCAGCAGTCCGTCTTAGTGATAACATTCGCGAAGAGACCCATGCAGTCGCGCAGACGCGACTGGGGCGGGGGAGAGGGACTCTGAAGCGCGGTCAGATTCGGCCAGCTCTGCCAAAGTATCGTGGTACACTCCGATTGAAAGAAAGGCACGTCAAGGTGTCGAGCTGTACGGAGAGGGGGGCACTGTAATCCAATCAAAACGACTTCGCTTTTCTAAATATTGCAACTTTTATTTTAATTACACCATCGTGTTTTTTTTTGGTTGGTCACCGTTGCAAATTGTCACTTTACGCCACTTTCAAAATATTTCTCAACACTTCTTGCATTTTAAACGAAGTGTCCGTATTGTGGTCAGGTGGTTTGTGACTCAGACTGGTGCTGAGCAGAACGAGCAAACATCGATGCACCGGAGGAGGCCAACTATCTCTTACCACCATGGGAATATTGGGAGTAAAACGATGTTATTGTGAACGTGCGAAAGTCGCACCCTGGGGCGTTGCTCGCACGTAGCTGCGATCGTATTATTTGGCACGCGCTCACTACTTGGTGAAAATAGATAAATCAGTCAGGAATTCTGCGTAGACTGTTTATAAACGAACAGCTGATCACGAGACGACGGTGTTTATGTCTAATTGTTAATGATTAATAAATCTACAATTGAGTAATTTCATTTGCTTTATAAAGATGAATGATTAATATACCCAAAACCGAGTAACGTGATTTATATTAGAAACCATACATAAACTTAAAACCTATAGGGTTTGATGATTTTATTCCAATAACATAAATACTTTACACACAAAATCAAATATTTGTCATAAAAAAATTGTAAATCTTGTAGGTAAGTGAGAATTTTCAATAATTTAAATATAAGTTGCTTAAACATTGTGAATCATTTTTTAATCTTATTTTGGTGTAAATTTCATTTTTTTGTGATAAAATTGGTTTTAATTTTTTTCACTAACACCCAAATTGTTTAAAAGCCTAAAAAAATAGATGTTAGAGGATGCTTGAACACATGATAGGGCGAAGAGCTGAGACAGTACTTCGTTATCACGTCGAAAATCAATTTTGAATTGTTTTCTATTTAAATTTGGCGTCAAAATCGGTTGACAAAAATACCTTCAAATTCAACTATTTTCCCCATCTCTGTAATTGTTCCAGCCTGATACATACAATAGATACTGAGAAAAATAAAACATGAAAACCACATTTCTCATTGTATCTCTGTAACCCGAAGAGGCTGATTTTTTGGGAGTCTTCGGCATTTTTATTCTCTTTCATATGAGCATCGCGATTATTGATTTGGTTTGGAGGCACTTTTCACCGCCTTATCCGGCTATATCCTTTGGAGTCATTTATTTGAAAATTTGAAAATGTCCGAAGGGCTTCATGTAAAGTATCGCCCGAAATTAAAACATCGGTTTCAAATTCCAGGGGCTCGACGCCAGCCAGAACGATTAGGGAATAATTTTGGACAAAATAGGCTGAACGGTTTGCACAGACGGACGGTCGGACAGACAGACGTTTTGCCGTCAATCAATTTTTCGTTATCAAGAGCGCACAAAACATGTATTCTAGCTACACCACGTGATAAAGGACCTTTTTCTATAATTAGGAACTGGATTTATCCACTTTTTCGTTACTAGGGTCCTTCAATAAGAGTTTTTGTGTCGACAATTCGCCGTTTTTGGGCGCACGATTACAATACTATTTTCTTTCGTTAGTAAGTGTGTGAAAGTAACATCAACGAAAGTAAACAAAATAGTCAAGCATATCTGGGTTAGTTGTTTCACGACCTTTGAAATGAAAGAAAAAATAAGAAGGTGAAATTTTAATTTTATTAAAATATTTTAAGTATTTCTTTTTTTAAATGCATCTATGAGAATTTTATGTATTTAAATGTATCTCCAACATACATGTCCTAAGAATTCAAAAATACGTTTTTTCAAATACAAAATGTATTGAAAATATGTATTTCAAATACAATTTATATAATCTCAGACTGGGTTCGAGAAAGAAGAAAGAAATGGAACGAACATATAGACAGAATGGAAGAAGACAGACTGGTGAAAGTGACTAGAGATAGAAGACCGGAAGGAAGGAGAAGAGTAGGACGTCCAAGAACTAGGTGGAAAGACATCTTGTGAAACAAGACAGCATGAATATAGTGCCAATTTATAAATATGAATAAGTAAGTGTAATGTATCAGGGTTTTTAAAATTTTAATTAAGTATCATTTGTAAAGAAACAGGCTCTAGCCTGAAGAAGAAGAAGAAGAAGAAGAAGAAGAAGAAGAAGAAGAAGAAGAAGAAGAAGAAGAAGAAGAAGAAATACAATTTCTTAAATACTGTGCAACCCTGCCTGCCGTACAGTCTGAACAAAGAGCGCGTGGCCTCTAGGAAATGTATCTCCAACATGCATGTCCAAAGAATTCAAAAATACGTTTTTTTCAAATACAAAATGTATTTAGAATACGTATTTCAAATACAATGTCTTAAATACTGTGCAACCCTGCCGGCCGTACAGTCTGAACAAAGCGCGCGTAGCCTCTAGGAAGGCGGTTGGGCGGGGCTGCGTCCATGGCCTTGCCACTGCAGCGGGCGATTGCGCTGGGACGGGCGACTATCGCCGCGGCATCAAAGCGCTGATAGCGCGGCCGCGTGCGGAGCGCCGCCAGCACTCGACCGTGCGGCGCTGGCAGCGACATTTTGTCCCCAACAGCTCAAGCAGAAACGGAACGTATACGAGTAGATGTGTAGGCGTCGGTCGTTCAAAGCGTTTATA